TATGCTTGGTTCTGTTGGCGAAGCCATTCTTGTTCGCGATCCGTATCGCGGACTGGTTGTCGCAGAAAAGCGAGAAGCTGGGTATTTTCGCAATTTTCGCTTCTTCCAGCAGTTCGCGCAGGTACAGGCCTTCCTTGGTAGCAGTGCAGAGAGCAACATACTCTGCTTCAGCAGATGATAGTGCGACGAGTTCTTGCTTACTTGATTGCCAGGAGATAGTTCCGACGGGCTCAAGGCGGTAGATGTAGCCGGTGCGAGAGCGACGATCGACACGATCAGCAGCATGATCAGCGTCGACGTAGCCGAGTAGTTTTAGGTCGGTCGTCGCGTTCTTGTGATATGTTAAGCCAACTGTTGGCGTTGAGATGAAGTAGAGAAGGGCGCGATTGAGTTCCTTGAGGTGACGTTGTTCTGGGCGCTTGAGGTAGGTCGCTAGTTGACTGGCGCTGTAGGATAAGTCCGGTCGGCACGTAACGGCGGCAAAGAGTAGGCAGCCCAGTTTCTGTTGATATTCCTGGATTTCAGCGGGCGGCAGTGGGTTGGTTTCTTCGGTTGGATCGAGCGATAGGTGACTGTAGGGTGTTGCGACGTGCGTCGGTGTGATGCAGAAGCGTTCGGCGATAGTGCTTGCGTATTTTGAGGCGCTGAGACGAATAGTGTTGTCTTCATCGAGGATGTTGAGCCCTAGGTACTGCGTGACGTTGGGTGAGACTGTGAGGGAGAGATCTGTCTGAAGCTCCTTCTCGAACCAGGTGACGATGGTGGTAGTTGACCCGATGTAAAGCAAATCGTCGACGTAGACGATTAGCAGAACGTAGTCGTTGTCGCGAGTGAGACGATACATGCCCTGGTCATGGGGCAATTGGTTGAATCCGATGCGTTTGAGTCGTGCGTGCAGATACTGCTGCCAGAGTCGTGGTGCCTGCTTGATTCCGTATAGTGATTTAAGTAATTGGCAGACGAGGGAAGGGTCGTCGACGAATCCGTGGGGCTGTTCGACGAAGATTTCAGCGTCGACTGGGGCGTATAGAAAGGCGTTGGCGACATCGATTTGTCGGAGTGGGCGGCGGCGTGAGGCGGCGATGGCGAGGAGTATGCGCAGGGAAGTATGTCGACTGACTGGTGCGAAGGTTTCAGTGAAATCGCGACCATACTCTTGGTCGAATCCGCGGACGACCCATCGAGCTTTAAATCGTTCGATGGTTCCGTCGGAGTTGGTTTTGATCCGGAATACCCATTTTCCGGAGAGAATGGGTTTGTCTTGTGCGAGTGATGCAGGGACGATCTTCCAGGTGTTGCGGTCTGAGAGCGCTTTTAACTCCTTTTCCATGGCTTCGCGCCATTTTCCTTTGTGTTCCCCCCCCAGAGCCTGCTTGACAGAGCGAGGCTCTTCAGGTGGCGACGAAGGCCCGTGCACTGCAGCGACGAGTCCCAGGACTTGGAGTCCGCTGGGGGTGTGACGATTCAGCAAGGGGTCCTCGGGATAGACTGCTTCGTCTCCCGCTTCAGGATCAGGTGCGAATCCGGGGCCGTATCGTTCAGAGATGTCGGTGTTGACGGGTTGGGATGTTACGTAACCATTGTCGGCGAAATGGTAGTAGGCATCGGCATTGTTACTATCGCGAGGGTTTTCCTCGTCCATGGGGATTGGGACGGAGCAGTAAGGAAGAGGTCCAGCAGCTTCGGAGGCGCCGTCGACGTTCTCTTCTTCCCAGTCAGCAGCATCGGAGGGTGAAGCGAAGGCTCGGGAGCTAGAAAATCCGCCGGTGGGGTCGACGTGGCGTGCGATGTTGTCCAGGTAATGGTTGAGGGTGAGTCGCTCGTAGAAGATAACGTCACGTGCTGCTACTGTTTCTTTGGTGTGGACGTCGAAAATTCGCCATGCTTCGTAATGTTTTGCCAACCCGAGGTGTAGACCCCACTGTGCACGTTGCGAGAATCTCCCTGCGCGTCTGACTCTGTTAAGTCCCAGGACTTGTGACTCTGTTAAGTCCCAGGACTTGTTGGACTTATGCCGTCCCAGGACTTGTGACTTCCGCTGTGCTACTCTAGCACCTACTAAGCCTATTCTCTGCAAAGATCAGATATGTTGTTTCTACAACATATCAGGACTTCTGTCCTGGGTCGGAAGTCTGACTCTGTTAAGTCTGATATGTCTCATATGTTGTAGCATATTCTGTGCGTCCAAGAGACTCTGTTAAGCTTCGGGGATGGAAACAACAAGTCCTGGGACTTAACAGAGTCAGGTTTTGTTTGTTGGTGCGTTCAGCTTCGGGGATGGAAAAGGAGTACCAGAAGCCTTCAGGACTGAAGTTCGGGTCGAGGTCTGGTGGGTGCGTCCAAGGTGCGAGAGCGACTATGCCGTCGCTGTCTGCGGTGCCTTTGTCGGGGACGACGTCGAGGACGAACACGTCATCTTGTTGGATTGCACGGCCGATGAAGACCCCCCCTTTTCCGTGGTAAAGACGGATTTCCAGGGCGTCGGAGTCGCACTCCAGGTGAACGCCTTTCGACATGAGTTGGCTGACGCTTAGTAAGTTAAAGCCGAGGTTGTCGACGACGAGTACTTTGTTTAATTGAAGAATAACGTTTGTTTCGTTTGACTGAAGCTCCACGACTCCTTGTTTGTTGGTGCGCAGGTTTTCGTTGTTGGCGATGGTGATGATGACGTCTCGCGGAAGACGTCGTTCGCGCTGAAGAAATCGTGATGAATAGCACATGTGATGACCGCAACAACTGTCGAGGAACCATGTGTCTGGTCCGGTGGGTGCACGGTTCGCGATGGCGGCGTACGTTGGATTCACGTTAAGGGACGACGGTGGTGGTGATGGTTGCTCATCAGGACTGTAAGTTGGTGGGGAGCCGGTAATGCACGAGTCGATGTTTGACTCTGTTGTTCGTGCCATGGCGACGATTCTTGGTGTCTGTGCAGGTCCCGAAGTGGAAGTTGACGGTCGCGTTGAATTAGTCGTTGAGGCGGTAGCGGGTTGTTGTTGAGTTGACGCGATGTGGGGAGGCACTGGTCGCAGAGGACGGGAGAATGGTGCTGGTTGTCGTTGTTGCTGAGGGCAGTTGAAGCGTGTGTGTCCTGAAGTCCGACAAAGATGACAATAAGGAGGTACGTGTCCTCGATTTTGGTAGCGTGGTTGTCGTCGATTGGTGTAAAGAACGACTGGTTGATGATGCCTTTTGTTGTTGCGTTCTTCGAACAGGTCCATTTCCTGCTGCTCGGCGTGAATTTCGGCGCAGAGATGCATTTCGGAGAGTCGACCATGAGCGCGAAGAAGTGAGCGGGTGGTGCGCCACTGAGGTCCAAGGCCGGCAAGAACGACGGTTACGAAGGCTTCTTCAGATAAGTTTCCTCCGCAGCGAATGAGTCTGTCGCGTAGTCCTTGACAGCGACTGATGTAAGGCATGGCCTTTTCTCCAGGTTGCATTTGAACTGTTGTCAGTTGTGCCATGAGTCGGCTTTGCGTAACGCTGTCGGATGCTTGATGAATACTTCGTAGATGTTGATAAGCGAGTTCCGCGGAGTTTGCGTAGTTCCGGTAGGCGCGGATGCTTTGTTGTTCGTTTGGCGACAGGTTTCGGAGAAGAACGGTGTAAGCCATGAGGGAGTGATACGTATAATTTTCTTTGTCCTTGTCTTCGCCGTTGTGTGGATATGGCCAGGTGCCGTTGAAGAAGCCAAGAAGATTCGCGCCTTCCATCAGGAGCTCAAACTCGAAGCTCCAAGAGTAGAAATCCTTCCCGTTGAATTGTGTGGATGTGTGCAGTCGTAGGATGTTGTTGAACTGTGCTTGTACTTGCAGGACTTCTTCGGTGTCTCGTTTGATGGCGGGAAGAGGAGTCGCTGGATGGCGGGGCGGCATGAACGTGAAGGAACCAGGTGAGACCGAATTTGGTGTTTGTTGATTATGTCGTCCGAACGATGAGTTGTCAATGCTCATTGGTGCCGCTCCGTTGTTTACGCTGTTGCTGTTTGCAGGTTGCGAGGGCTGCTGCTGCGACATGAAGTTGAAGAATTCCTCCATTAAGCTTGGGTTGAAGATTGTTGGCGGCGCTACTGGTGCTTGAGTAGAGCGTTCCGTCGCTTCCGGCGTTAATCCGGGCGTTGTTCCTCCTTCGGTCTGCAACTCGGAGACCGGGGGTAGAGTGGATCCCGTAGATGATCTTCTTTCTTTGCCACTTGCCATGTCTTGCCTTTCTTGAGTGAAGGTTGAACTTCTTGGTCGTTTGCAGATTGATAGCCTGGAAGAGGCTTAGTGACGAGAGCCTTAGTTCTCTGACTGCTCTGATACCATGTTGGGCTGAGAATTTCAGCCTTAGGATCTTTGCAGAGAATAGGCTTAGTAGGTGCTAGAGTAGCACAGCGGAAGTCTTGAGTGAATGTACTTGTGCTGGTATGTGAGAACAAGTAATTGATTAAAGCAAAGGGCATACAGGAATATATAGAAAGGATAGATTACAAGAAGCGGTTGTGTTTATCGAGACGCGTAACGCTTCGACTATCGAGGTGGTTACTGTTCACTGAAGCGTCGCTTGCTGTTACGTAACCTCCAGGCGGTTACAGTTCGCAACCTCCAGTTGCGGTTTTGATGTGGTACGCGCCTTTTCGACTTCGTACTCCTTTTGTTGTGCTTCAGTATCGGGTAAGGTTCGATACTACAGAAACGCACTAAGTCATGCGTTTATTTTCCCAACAGTCATCTTACAATGAGATGCGCTATCGTTTAGTGGGTTTGAACATGCCTGGTGCCGTAAGCAGATGATTTAGAGAGAATTGAGAGTTGTAAGTCTTCACAAAATCTTCCCCAAGTCCCTCTTCCAATGTCCCCCATATGAGAAACATGTTCACCGTACAACCACATATTTCAGGGGTGAAAAATCGCTTGCTGTCTTTATGGCTCCTCCAAAGTGTAATAACAGACAAATCATCTCTTGTAACCCTTGAATTGGGTGCGCTGCTCTGCAGCAAGTATTCCACGTATTTAAATCCATTAGCAGTTGTCCCCATACGCCACAAATCTGTACCGTTGCTCATAGTCGGCACTGAACTCGAGCTCAGCAAAGAACCACCGTGGGAAGCATACCAAGTCACCTGCTGCAAACTCCATGCTCTCCTCACACTCCTGCCATGGACCGATGCATGGGTGGATGGCAGTGCAGGAAGAGAGAAAGAGCAAGGGATGAAAGTTTGTTGGAAGATGAACTTTTAGACTCTCGTCACACTCGTGCCATGGATGCAGTCAGGAGCATTCAGTGGAGCTGGTAAGGGGCAAGACCTGTGGATAGAGGATGCATCACATTGCATCGCATACAGCATAAAGACACAGGAAAACCAAGGGGTGGCTTCCAGCGTGCTACATGTCACATCATGACTCACACTCCAGTGAATGTGCCTTCAATAGTGCCACGTGTCACAATCACGGTGACTCACATCAGGAGTGACTCTGAGAGTGCCACGTGTCACCAGCACCTGCTCCTCTACCCGCCAGTCCCACCGGTAGGCACATGGCCCGGGCGTCCACCACCGCTGCCACCTCTCCGCCCCAAGCTCCTGGAAGCAGCAGGCATGGTTCAGAATCAAGGATGAGAATCAAGGATGAGAATCAAGGATGAGAATCAATGGCACGGGTTTGATTTAATGCCGGGGAGAGTGAGTAAGGCACAATTGCAATATCGGCCACATGTGCCAGTCACACGGCCTGGCTAGTCACATCAATGTCACCACCTCTCCGCCCAACCTCCTCCAAACAGCAGGCATGGGTCAGCAGGCATGGGTCAGCAGGCATGGGTCATACGTGGTGGTTACATGTACCCCTCCGCCCGCAGCGCCTGAAAACAGCAAGCAAGCCAGGCGAGGACCGGTGTGGGAGGTTAAACCCCGAACCCTGTACCCATACCCGCTGAGCGGCGTGGTTTAGGGAAATCACTGGGCTTTAATGAAATCTCTCTATCAGGGCCATGGATGGCTTTTGAGTCGACTTAAAAGGGTGAGGCGCGAGGGGTATGGTTGAGTGCGGTGCGGGAACCATAGGGTCACGGTGACCCCACCCTATGCCCCTGCACTGCAGGATTGTCGGTGGAAGCACGATACGGGGGCCATCATGGCTGGTGGGTGTGGTAGGAGGCGATGGGTGGTATGGTGTGGTGGTGTTCCATGGGAATGGCAGCGGCAAGGCATGGGTGGGAGCGGCAGGGGCGAGGCAAGGATGGGAGCGGCAGTGGCGGAGACAACGGACTGATTGCGCGGCCTTGCAATCGTCGCCCCGCGCGCGCGACCACCCGCCCTCCTCCAACCCGCATATCGAGTGCCCAGCAGGTGCGCAATCTAGACTCGAGGCGCCTACGAAGCCTCTTCCTCTCCGTTTTGAAGCATCCTCCTAAAACCCATTTACTCGCTACCGCACGCCTGCGGGGACGTGCGCGCTACCTCGATTCTGTCGGCGGAAACGTCCCTCTCCACGCGCACGCCATATCGCTCCGCCAGCGGCGCTCGCCGCCGAACGTTTAGCTCCCACTCCGTGCGCGCCGCAACCCCCGCGCTCGGCCCCGTTGCGCGCACTGACTCCACGGCTTGCGTGAAGCTTGCGCGTGGACCCCGTGCGCCATGCTGTGTGCGCGCGCCGAAACCAGTGGAAGGTCGGGTGTTTGTGAGGGGGAACTGCCGATATGTGCGCGTAAGGCCTTGTAGCGTGGTGGGTTGGGAGAAGACGTTGCTTGGGGGTAGAAGGGGCGCAGCGGTGTGAATCGCGCGAAATGCTGACGCAGATATCGCCATGCGAACAGCGAGCGAAAGATACGGGGAGGGCTCGAAGCGCAGATAGCGATTATGGAGTAATTGAAATGCTTGGTGCGGCAAACGGACTCCGTCTAATTGGACGTTCTGGGTTCCTAATAATAATGCGTACGGACGATGTGACTAAGAATGCTGTGGTAGAAGCACTCGTGGATCGTGCTTGAAGCGGCTGCCACTACCACATCTCTCGAGGGTTTTCGTACCGATAAAGAAATAATACGGTATGTGCGCTACAAGGGGTTCTGGCCATTTTACTGGAGACAAGGGTATATTGATGCATTAGTGACAACAGCCTAGTAAATGCTCACCAAGTGAACCAAACGAATAAAAGAATATGCAACAGAGCGTATAACAATGGCGAGTACAAGAGAGCAACCGACTGTACATTATTCCCCCAATCATGGAGCAAGTGCCAGGTACTGAGCAATACCCCATCTGACCACCAGCCTACAGCGGGAGGTGCAAACACCAGGTGCCTGCCAATCCACTTTCAAGAATTCTCATAAGTGAATACGGAATAAGCAGAGTTATTCAAGCGAGCTGAGTGGCGATGCTGCTAAGCAAGCGGGTTACTCGGTGGGAACCAGGTGCAGTTCCACCAGTACTTGTACGAGCTGTACGTGCACTTGCGGGGGCTCTGGCTCCAGCAGCTGGACGGCGCCAGGCACGTGCTCGTGCCGCACGGCACTCTGGAGCAGCACATGCACTGGCTGTAGCACGAGTCGTAGTTCGCCTGCATCTGCGTCGTCGTGCCGCCCAGCGTGTCCCTTGTCGCGCGGCACACGTTCTCACAGACAGTCTGCTCCACCGCACAGCATTTCCCCGGCAAGTCGCCCTGCAGCACGGTGCAGTCGCTGTCCAGCGGCTTCCAGTTGGGGTAGGGGCATGTGCTCCACGTACAGCCATACCCCGCGGCGGGGGCGAGGCCGGTGCGCCCGGTGCAGGCGGCGTTGCAGCCGGAGCAGACGCCGTCCTGAATGACCGGCAGCGCGTAGTTGCAGAGCGCGTCGCAGTAGGACGGGTACGTGACGTAGTCTGCCCCGCACACCGGGAGGGACTGCGCACAGCCGCAGTCGAGAATCCCCACGCGCGCGTCGCACGGGATGATGAGCTGGGTGTTGGCTACCAGAGGGGAGGTTTCCAGGATGTTGTTTGCTGCGGCAATGGCGGCGGGGGAGATGGAGGAGGAGGTGCAGCGCGTGATGAACCTGGAGGAGATGAGGGCGAGGGAGTCGTTGGGCTGCACGGTGTAGAGCGAGAACGAGGTGCTGGATGCGGTGAGGAGCGATGCGAGGAGTGGGGAGTTGATGCAGACCTTCTGGCCCACTTGGAGGTAGGGCGCTTGGCACTGTAACGGGGATGGGGTGTAGGGCACAGGGGAGAATAGAGGATGAGCGGATATGGGAGGAAAGTCGGACAAAGGAGCAACGGAGCAGCATTACAGGAAAGAGGAAATTGTTGAGACGGGAGACTAGTGTGCAACGGCTAGTGTTGAGAGGGGCTGAAATTCCGTAAGCCTAAATTGGTGGCTCACCCGAATGTCGGGGTTGCTAGGGCTCACCCGGATGCCGGGGTTGATGGCGAGGAAGGTGGACTCGGTGAGGTTGGCGGCATTCCAGATGTTGGGGCAGTTGTCTCCCTGCAGCACCGCGTACCATGCCGTGCAGTTCACTGCCGTCTGCGGGCGGGATGGGAGGAGAGAGAGGGAGAAGCGAGATCGGGCGAGGCTGTGAGACAGCAGCCCTGCAGAAAGAAACTAGCGACCACATCAACGACAGGAACGCAGCTTTTGGGACGTCTCAAATTCTTCCCGCGACCCACCTGGGTGCTCTTGGGGGCGACGCAGACATACAACCCCACGGGGAGGGCAGTGGCGCACGAGAGCGCGCTGTTGAGCCCCATGAAGGCGCCCAGGCTGATGGCGAACTTGGTCGCCACTGAGGAGCACGTGTCGCCCGCCACTGTGGTGTATGTCTGCCCGCACTGGGGGATGGGCACGGCTGCCAGCGAGGAGAGGGCGCTGGTGGCCGTGCAGATGACCTGAGAGGGCAGGGCGGAGGGAGACGACACGAGTCATGTTACATGTCAGCGAATTGGCGATTCTTCCAAAAAAAAAAAAAAAAAAAAGTCATAATCAGCAGCGACGAGAGCGTGTGCGGTTGTGACTTGTGGTGGTCACAGCACTTGAGAGAAATCTCGAAAGTGGCAAGTCACCTGTGAGGGGTAGAGGAAGAAGCGTGAGGTGGTGCATGTGAGCGGGTTGGCAGCACGCAGCGCCGACAGGCTCCCCGCGAAGAAGGTGTTGGCGAGGGTCGTGCAGGTGTCGTTGGGTTGCACGGTGTACGTTGCGGTGCAGAGTGGTGCAGAGGGGGATATCGAGGTGGAGGAGGCGTTTGCGACGGTGAGGATGAGCGTTGGGGGGAGGTAGGCGAGGGAGCAGTTTAGGAAGGGGTTGAGAGCGGTGAGACCGGCAGTGGTGAGGCCGAAGGCGGCAGCAACGGAGGAGCAGGAGTCACCGGGCACGGTGGGGTAGGCGAGGAACGAGGCTGGGCCGCCCGCCACTCCCACACACGTCTGCGTGCCGTCTGATGCTGCTCCTATGGCGTAGCCCTGCCAGGGGGAGGGGGGGAAAGAGTGAGAGGGGTGGAGGGAATGAGAAATGGGAGGGAGAGCATACCTACTGGTCTAGAGAGAAAGGAAGGCTCGGTAGGTCAGTCATGGCGGGGCACTGAGAGGCGTGCGTGCGAAGAAAGGCAACGAAGAGTCAGCAGTCGCACTCACAGTGGGGCACTGGCACGAGTAGGTGCCGTCGCCGGGGTTCACACACGTGCCGCTGCCGCACGGGTTGTACTGGCCGCGGCTGGAGCAGGGGTTGCGCGGAACGCACTTGCTGGTGGGCACGCCCGTCACCTCCACCATCCCCGCCAGCGCGCTGCAGTCGCACCGCGCCATGCCCGCGCGCGTGTAGCAGCGCCCCGCGCCGCACGGGTTGATCCCGGAGCACGCGTCCGCCGCGGCGGTATACGCGCGCGTCCACCAGCGGCCGTCGTTGCCGTCGTCCGCGCGCGAAATGGGACCGTTGTTCATCTTGACGGGCTGCGGCCCGCTCGGGTAGTACACCGGGTACATGGCGGGGATGCTGTGGGGGGGAGGCGGAGAGGGGGGGGATGGAATCGAAGGCGTAAGGGGGGAAGGATTGAAGGGATGGTTGAACGGAAAGATGGGAATGAGCGGATTGACGAAAAGGCGATGCCGTCGAAAATCGGCTGATTGAAAACACGAAATGCCACGTACGCGTGGATGCCGCATTTCCCGCGCACGTCGGGCGACATGGCGAGGTACATGTAGCCGCCGTCGCCCCACGTGTTGAACCACGTGTTCTTGAGGATCCAATAGCTGCCCGCGAGACTCGAACCCGTGTAGTTATACCCCACCACCAGCACCGCGTGGTTGATGTCCGTCGTGCACAGCCCGTCGTAAATTTTCAGCTGCCCGCGCGAGCTGTACTGCTGGAAGTCCTGCGCGGAGCCGCTTAGGAAAGCGACGACGGGCTGCATGCTGACCGCCTTCATCAGCGCCTGCGCGCTGTACGGCGGCACCAGTTCCCACCCCGTGATCTGCGGCGGGGAAGGGGGGAGAGGGGAAAGGGGAGGAAGAACGCGACATGAGAAAGAGAGGCGGCGAGGAAAAGATGTGAGTTGAGACATAGAGCGGCGTGATGCGTTGGTGAAGCTACTAGAGCAAGCTGCGACACGATGACTGACAGGAATTCGAAATTGGGATTAGGAGAATGAACTATGAATTAGCCAGGCCTGACCTGGGCAGTGGTCGGTGTGAGCGAGTTAGCCAGGCACACTGTACTGTCGTTGGCCAGATAGGGGTAGTTATCCACGGAAGTGATGCCTCCATTAAAGAGTACATATGAAAAAGCCCAGTCGGGCCAACCGCCCTGACAACACTGCTTGGTCCCGCAGTCGCACACCTGCCAGTCGCAAGAAGGAACCCTTGAAGTTGGATAAGTACAGTTACTGATACAAGCATATACGGCTATAAGTAAGGTAATACTGAATGTGCTGGGTTTGGGAGATCCGATGAGAGATAGCAAGGCTTCCAAGAAGCATGGCAGCATTTTCACGCACTTGCTGCGGAGAAAGGATGGCTGGTAGCGAGTTGGTGTTGATCGCCCACATCATAGAGATAGAATCAACGGCTGCGATCGCCCAGCAGCTAGCGCACTGCCATGTGAAGGAGTGGGAAATAAGATAACAGAAAAGTTGTTATTGCTAAACCTCGGTGACATGAATATGCGTCTAAAAAGAAGAGTGGTGTGTCGAGCAAGAAGGTGGTCACCACCACCTTCCGCCTCTGGTGGACGGCCATTGAGAAATGCGGCGGCAGCCATTACCAGGTACTGCCGTTGGATGGGTGAGATGTACATCGTCTGGCGCCAGTCCACCACCGCGTTCGGCGTGACGGAATCAAAACGGAAAAACGTGTTGTTGACGTCAGCCATGCTCGGTCCTGAGTTGAGCGGCGGGGGATTCAACCCGAACTGCTTCTTCGGCGCGTCTTTCAGTTGGCGACGAGAGCCGTTTTCTTCGCCAATGACGTCGCTTTCTTCATCGTCAACGTCAGGCACCGCGTCCCTGAGCCTCGCTGCGCTGTAGATCTCCTTGAGTTGGGGGCTCAGCTGTAGGGTTTCGGTCAACGCCTGCTCGTAGCGCGTTGCGAAGCTGTTGCTTGGTAACGACTGCGACGCGGCGATGGCGATGGCGAGGGACAGAACGCATGCGAGAAACGTGAGGACGACGAGAGAAGAACCTCTCCTGCACGGCCGTGCGATACCCATTTTTTAGTGCTGGGACTTTGGGGAACTGCGTGATTTGCTGCTGTCGTGAATCAAGGACTGCTGCGAACACAATTTTTCAGGATGGAGGAGTGAATGGTTGCGGGTAAGTCGTGTCGCTCGAGGCTGTTCTAGAGAAAACCCTCGAAGCCGACATTTAGAAGCTTGTGCTCGCGACAGGACATCTGCGCCTCATCCTGCAGCAGGCGTTTCGAGCTGGGTTCAGGGGTGCGTCCAAGGGGTGCGAGCGTGCAGCTATGGCGGTAGGTGAAGACCTTGCTGTGTTTCTGCTCATGTAGGAGGGATTTCCTATCATCCCACCCATCACATCCGCACATTTTAGGCAGATGCGGCTCGGGGACTGTTAGAATGATTTCGTTAGGCCGTTTCGCCAAATCGCTGCACTGTAACCAGCAGCATTGCCAGCTGCCAAGCGTCGAGCTTCTATGTTGGGAATGCGCAGCGACAAAAGGCACCAGTGGCGCTTGTCTGTAATAACGCGGACCTGATGTCAGTTCCACGCTGGCAACGGGCCAACCAGAGGAGGCCAACTACACCAGAGCCGACAAGGCCTGTCTCCTCTGGGTCGCCAAGAGGCGCATGTTGCGCCTTTGTGCTCGTTTGTCGGCTGGTCGCTTCCATCTGCTTGTTGGGTGGCGGGTGGTTGGTGGTTGTTTGTCATGTGGTGTGTCTGTGCTCTTATCGTGTTAACTGAAACTTACCATTAATACAACTGTAGAGTCCAGCAAACATTCATTGCCATGTAATATGGTAGTTTACATTCCCTCTAGGATCCAAGTGATATGCAGGTAGGCTTTCGGAAATTAAATGGTGGTTGCGCCCATGCAACCATTACTACCACTGACACAGTTGCCCCTTCGCAAGGATGGAGTAATGTAATTTATATTACAGAACAAAGAACCACTAGTGTACATTTATTGATTGTTGCATCACAAAGTTGGTCATAGTTGTCAAGCAGATACGATGCTCCCTTCATGCCCTATACCCAGAAAGAGGAAAAGCCGGTGTATACAAGCTGTACAATATTAGGCAACGAGCTGCAGTTCTCCATACCGCGCTGCACTCCCCAAACCACCACCACGAAGCACATCAGCCACCATGCTTTGCTGAGTGGTACCTCAAGGACACATAAGGTACACCTGGGCTCCGCAACCAATCAGAGCGGCAGCAATCCAGCCAACCACAGGTGCCGCAATTAACGCAGCCAATCAGAGCTCGAGCACAACGCAGCTCACAACTACATCTGAGGGACACCCAACACCATCAATGCGGCGCGTCAGCAGCACCCCATCGCACCGCAGCGCCTCCTCCACCTCCACCACCACCATCGACAGCCCCCGCCCAATCACGTACAGCCGCCCGCGAAACCCTAATATCCGGCACGGCGGCGTCAGCAGCGCTGGCGACAGCCGGCCAATCGGGCGCCACATCTGCGCCACGTCATCGTACACGGCCAACCGGATCCCTCCGATCTGATCCAGCATGTACATCCGACTGTCCAGCACCGTGGACGGGCCGTGCCAGGCGGAGGGAAGGTTCCCGGAAAGTGGGGACCAGGAGTTGGAGGAGAGGGAGAAGGCGACAGCGTCAGGGCCGGGGGGGGAGTGCACGCAGCGCATGTGGCGCAGCAGCAGTCGGTTGGCTAGCACGGCTGCATCCTCTAAGTCGCACTCAAAGGGCAGCGGGGCCGCACTGGTCCACCTGGGGAAAGGAAGAGGGCAGGGAGGGTAAAGAGTAAGTAGCGGGGAGGAAGGGGAGTATTGAGTGCAGTCGAGACGCATCTAGCAGCAGCAGTCGGTTGGTTAGCTAGCGCTGCCATATCTTCTGGGTTGCACTCAAAGGGCGATGGGGAAGCACTCAAAGGGCGATGGGGAAGCACTGGTCCACCTGGCAGAGGCGTGCGGGCAGGGAGGGTACGGGAGAATGCATGGGATGGGACAAGAGGGGGGAGAATACAGAAGAGGCGGGTCAGGAAGGTGAGACAGACGGTGAGAAGGTGGTTGGGATGGAGGGCGATACATGGCAATGCAAATGGTACAGCAGCAGCTGCCTCTACTGTATCACACTGTGCCTAATCAAGCTGTCCGCCCCCACTGGCACGTACTGCACGCACCGGTCCTCACTACCCCTCACAGCACGCACCGGTCCTCACTACCCCTCACAGCACGCACCGGTCCTCACTACCCCTCACAGCACGCACCGGTCCTCCTGCGGGTGGTAAATTTCAACTGACGTCAGCAGTGACGTGTTGCTCGCCCCCATGCCACCCGCCACCACCAGCCGTTCACTCGCCCACGCCCCTCCCACCGAACACACCCCTTCCGCCCTGCTGCTGCTGCTCCCTCCCTCTGCCCCTCTCGCCTTCCCCACTCTCGGCTCCCTGCTGCTACCCCCCTGTTTCCCTCCACTGCTCGACTCCCCCACTCCTGCGTTCTCCCCAGCCCTTTCACTTTCCTCCACTCTGCTCCTCTCGCCATCCCTTTCCCCCCCAACCACACTTTCTCCCTCTCGCGCTCCCTCCCCATCCCGTAGCCTCTCCCCTTCCCTTTCCTTTTCCCTCCCAATCCCCCTTTCTTCCTCCCTCTCCCTCCCAATCCCGCGTTCCCTCTCCCTCTCCCACCCGCCATCCCCCAGTCTATCTCCCGCCTCCCTCCCCTCCCCCCCTATGTCGCCCCCGTCTCCGAGCCATCCCGCGCCCTGCTCCCGGCCCTTGCCATCCCTCTCCAGGCGCACGGCACCAGCCACGCAGTAGCAGCGGGGGAACGCCATGTCTGCCACGCGCACCCACTTGTTGGCAGGGGGGTTGTACCTGGGGGAGGGGGGAACGGGAGACAGGGGGAATGCGATAACAGATAGAGCGCAAGGGGAGGGGGGAGAAGGACTTAATGAAAGTGGGGGAAGGCCATGCCTGCCACTCGCACCCACTTGTTGGCGGGGGGGTTGTACCTAGAGGGTGGGGGCGGGTAGGGGGGAGGGGAATGCGCACAGTGATGGAGCACGCGGAAAGGAAAACCACTTGCTAATAGCAGTGGGGGAGGGAAGGCCGCGTCCGGCACATGGGCGCCTACCATAGCATATTGTCCCACCCCACCACCAACCCACGGCCTCAGCGATCCACGCCTTCCCACAACTGCCCACACATAACCCACCGTGCTGTCTTGCTGCCTGCACTGCACCCACCTGTACACGTGCGGTCTGCTGGGTTTGAGCCACCCCGCTCCGCCAATGACGTAAAGGTTGCCCTGGCAGGCGGCACAGGCGAGCCCGTAGGCGCGCGAGCAGAGGGAGGGCATGCGGGGGACGTCGTGCCACGTGGCGGAGCGCACGTCCAGCGCGTGCCACCACAGACGGTCCGAGCTGTCACGGGATAGCACGTACACCCACCCCTCCTGCACTCCCCTGTGCCGCCGCATCTCGTAGTACAGGGGGGACTGGGGGGAGGGGGGAAAGGGGGAGTGGGGCCAAGGGGGAAGTGGGGGAAAGGGGGGAAACGGGAATTGGGAGTGAAGGGGGAAAAGTGGGAAAGGGAGGGGCGGGGGGACAGAGGGAAAGTAGCGGAAACGAGGGGCATGGTGATGAGGAATGGCAAGAAGACTCCCGGGAGTGTAAAGAGCATTGAGCCAAGCACCTGACGGCTGGCAGCACACCTGACGGCTGGCAGCACATGGACGAGGCGACCTCACCTGAATGAGTTGGTTCCAGCGCCGTGAGACGCGGCGCATGGCGCGGTGGTCCTGGCGCGGCAGGCGCAGCAGGCACTCCGTCGCCAGGTCGTCCGGCAGCCCCGGAATCAGCGGCGCCGCCTCAGCCGCCGTTGCGTGCCCCGCGCGCGGTCCTGCGCCTGCGTCGCAAGGTAACCCCGCGTGCGACCCGGGCGACACGGGTGATGATGCTGGCGGGGTTGCGCCGAGCGCGACGGGGAATGGTGGCGGACGGGGAGAGGGCGGGGAGAAGGTGAGGAACAACGTGGTCGCACCTGTCGCATGCCATGCAAAACGGCATTTGAGTCGCATGGCATGTGTCGCACGGGAACCGCTGCATGACATAACTGTCTGCTCTCCGTACGAATACCAAGGGCATGGTATGACCGCCTGGCAACTTCCCAACAGCTTCCTATCCAAACATATTAGAAAGGAAAACTTAACAAATCCCGCCTCACCAATCGCGCCTCACCAATCGCGCCTCACCACTCCCGCCTCACCATGACTCGCATCTCTTCTCATCGGCGCGCTTCCACTAAATTCACCCTCTCCTTGAACCTCCTGTCTCTCGTCTTCTGAGCTTGACGTGGCAACGGATGACGTGTCACTGGATGACGTCGCGGCGGATGGCGTGGAAACGACACGTGCACTTGACACATGGTCGAATTGTTCTGCCGCGTCGACAGAAGTAATGGCACCCATAAAGCGAATTCGCGGTTTTTAAACAACGCGCATAGCCCGGTGGTCGTCGAAATTACGAAATATGTACACGAATCCCGCTCGAGCGAACCGCGAATCTAACACTTCAGGAAACGGAAACGTCAGAAAGATTCCTGTGCGACATGAGCAGAAGCACACGCGCAGCCTAAGTTAGTCAGTGCAGGACGGTCTGTCCATTTACGACGAGATTAGAAATTCGTACATTCGAAGTACGAGAGCAAGGACGATGGTGGGGGGAGATTGCTTGTGGCAGCCATGGTTTTGAGGGAACTGGGAGATGGAAAAGGAATGCGTACGCGCTAAGATATAGTGTCCATAATATTGAGGTACACCTGGCGTGCCTGCTAAAATATATTTACGACGTACATTTTTAGCCTTCATTCGATCTCATTACGAGCCACATCTCCTGACCAGTTGTGCCCATTCGCGAAAACTAAAATTTAAACAGACATTATCGTTCTACACAAAGAAAGCACATTCTTAGCTCCTCTACGAAATCTGTATGGACTACACCAATACTAGACGTGTTCCACATTCGCATTCAGTTGATTGTAGCAACATCGATCAAGCCTCACCATATCGAACTGGGGCACATACAATCGAGTCAAGACCTGCCCCCATCTTCCGCCACCATTCTCACTGGTCACAATTCATCGCCGCATTCGTCGCCTCGACGGCATTCCATCCAGTTTCGCTTAGTCGTGCGAAAGCCCTGCGATCGTAGTGCACGCGACCCTTCCTATGCGATTCAATAGCCTTGTTCACCTCGCGAATGGCTCAAATGGCTCCGCCGCGACCACTACCACCGTCCTCGTCCGCACCGCACGCACATCCCTCACATTCTCGCCCAGTCGCCCGCTCTCACTCCCCATGTAGCCTCGCCGAAGCTTCCTGGCTCCAGCCTCTTGGTAGCTATCATTCATTGAGACATGGAGCTGGTGTTCAGTCAACGTTTCGTCGTACGCGTTATTGCCAGCCCCGTTTAAACGGAATCTCGCTACAAGGGGGCATCAGCCTTGCGTCTTCCTTCCTTCGCGACGACACAGGGATTGGCCGCAAAACCGCAGGCTTCGCTCGCCGCTGTACTAATAACGGAAGGCACGCTGCTGCGGGTCGTGAGGGTCACAACTCTGGCCCCACTAGAAGAACTTCGATACAATCACGCTGTGCCATGTTTCACCCTGACAACCAAGATGGCTGTAGGGCACCACACGCCCAAGAGGTCTCCAGTTCGATCCCTGTCGTTGTCACTATTCCCATTGACGAAACACCGCCGTTGTCCCCCTCACCGCAAAGCCCTGCAGCCAGCAAACTCCATCCACTGGCTCAGCTTGTCTCATCCTCAGTTAGGCAGTCGGTGTGGGCGGCAGCGTTTGGCGTCTTGCTGCTGGCAGGAGCTAGAGCTGCTGTAGCACAGACAGGTGACCACGTCAGCATGAACAGTGGCAGCAAGAATGCAGTCATAGTCACCGCTGCTTCCACCGTAAACGGTGCTGCTTCTAACGGGGACGCTAGCACCAACATTCTTGTGAGGAATGCGGCAGGCGGGGCAGGAAGGAAGGTGGTTGGCAGCGAGGGAGAGAAGGCAGAGGGAGCAGCGAGGAGAGGAGAGGAAGGAGAGAAGGGGCAAGTGAGAGAGGGGCAGGGTGGGGGAGAGGAGCGGAAAGAGGAGGAAGAGGAGAGGGAAGGAGTGGAGGAGGAGGCGGAGATGGGTCGGGCGTACAGCCGGTGGGTGGAGAAGCCGGCAAGCCTGAGCGTGCCCCTCAGGGTGGTGGCGCTCAGAGGCACAGTGGCGAGCATGTGGCGCAAGGTGAGAGGCACAGTGGCGAGCATGTGGCGCAAGGTGAGAGGCACAGTGGCGAGCATGTGGCGCAAGGTGAGAGGCACAGTGGCGAGCATGTGGCGCACGGTGAGAGGCACAGTGGCGAGCATGTGGCGCAAGGTGAGAGGCACAGTGGCGAGCATGTGGCGCAAGGTGAGAGGCACAGTGGCGAGCATGTGGCGCAAGGTGAGAGGCACAGTGGCGAGCATGTGGCGCAAGGTGAGAGGCACAGTGGCGAGCATGTGGCGCAAGGTGAGAGGCACAGTGGCGAGCATGTGGCGCAAGGTGAGAGGCACAGTGGCGAGCATGTGGCGCAAGGTGAGAGGCACAGTGTCGAGCATGTGGCGCAAGGTGAGAGGCACAGTGGCGAGCATGTGGCGCAAGGTGAGAGGCACAGTGGCGAGCATGTGGCGCAAGGTGAGAGGCACAGTGGCGAGCATGTGGCGCAAGGTGAGAGGCACAGTGGCGAGCATGTGGCGCAAGGTGAGAGGCACAGTGGCGAGCATGTGGCGCAAGGTGAGAGGCACAGTGGCGAGCATGTGGCGCAAGGTGAGAGGCACAGTGGCGAGCATGTGGCGCAAGGTGAGAGGCACAGTGGCGAGCATGTGGCGCAAGGTGAGAGGCACAGTGGCGAGCATGTGGCGCAAGGTGAGAGGCACAGTGGCGAGCATGTGGCGCAAGGTGAGAGGCACAGTGGCGAGCATGTGGCGCAAGGTGAGAGGCACAGTGGCGAGCATGTGGCGCAAGGTGAGAGGCACAGTGGCGAGCATGTGGCGCACGGTGAGAGGCACAGTGGCGAGCATGTGGCGCAAGGTGAGAGGCACAGTGGCGAGCATGTGGCGCAAGGTGAGAGGCACAGTGGCGAGCATGTGGCGCAAGGTGAGAGGCACAGTGGCGAGCATGTGGCGCAAGGTGAGAGGCACAGTGGCGAGCATGTGGCGCAAGGTGAGAGGCACAGTGGCGAGCATGTGGCGCAAGGTGAGAGGCACAGTGGCGAGCATGTGGCGCAAGGTGAGAGGCACAGTGTCGAGCATGTGGCGCAAGGTGAGAGGCACAGTGGCGAGCATGTGGCGCAAGGTGAGAGGCACAGTGGCGAGCATGTGGCGCAAGGTGAGAGGCACAGTGGCGAGCATGTGGCGCAAGGTGAGAGGCACAGTGGCGAGCATGTGGCGCAAGGTGAGAGGCACAGTGGCGAGCATGTGGCGCAAGGTGAGAGGCACAGTGGCGAGCATGTGGCGCAAGGTGAGAGGCACAGTGGCGAGCATGTGGCGCAAGGTGAGAGGCACAGTGGCGAGCATGTGGCGCAAGGTGAGAGGCACAGTGGCGAGCATGTGGCGCAAGGTGAGAGGCACAGTGGCGAGCATGTGGCGCAAGGTGAGAGGCACAGTGGCGAGCGTGTGGCGCAAGGTGAGAGGCACAGTGGCGAGCATGTGGCGCAAGGTGAGAGGCACAGTGGCGAGCGTGTGGCGCAAGGTGAGAGGCACAGTGGCGAGCATGTGGCGCAAGGTGAGAGGCACAGTGGCGAGCATGTGGCGCAAGGTGAGAGGCACAGTGGCGAGCATGTGGCGCAAGGTGAGAGGCACAGTGGCGAGCATGTGGCGCAAGGTGAGAGGCACAGTGGCGAGCATGTGGCGCAAGGTGAGAGGCACAGTGGCGAGCATGTGGCGCAAGGTGAGAGGCACAGTGGCGAGCATGTGGCGCACGGTGAGAGGCACAGTGGCGAGCATGTGGCGCAAGGTGAGAGGCACAGTGGCGAGCATGTGGCGCAAGGTGAGAGGCACAGTGGCGAGCATGTGGCGCAAGGTGAGAGGCACAGTGGCGAGCATGTGGCGCAAGGTGAGAGGCACAGTGGCGAGCATGTGGCGCAAGGTGAGAGGCACAGTGGCGAGCATGTGGCGCAAGGTGAGAGGCACAGTGGCGAGCATGTGGCGCAAGGTGAGAGGCACAGTGGCGAGCATGTGGCGCAAGGTGAGAGGCACAGTGGCGAGCATGTGGCGCAAGGTGAGAGGCACAGTGGCGAGCATGTGGCGCAAGGTGAGAGGCACAGTGGCCAGCATGTGGCGCAAGGTGAGAGGCACAGTGGCGAGCATGTGGCGCAAGGTGAGAGGCACGTGGCAGTTGCTCTGACAGTGCTGACGAGGCCACGTGCAACAGGTTGAAACGTGGCTGTGCTCCTCGTTGCTGGTACCTCACCTCTGATACCTCTACTTCCAGCCTCTGCCTATTATTCTCACCCCTTTCTTCCTCTCTGGCTGTTCCTGTTCACACTAACTCCCTTGCATGTTTCCTGTGGCACTGCAACAGAGAGAAACAGAGTGAAGCTTCGCTACCCCCCTTGCCCGTTGTTTCTCCTCTTTCGTTTCTGCCCATCCCGCTACCTCCTTCCTTCTTCCCGGTCCCAATCCATGCAACTCCCGTCTCTACCCCTCCTCTCGCACCACACGCCATGCACGCCATCAGGACTTCCTGCAGTCGCAGTCACCCCTCGCCAAGCTCACAGTGGACGCGCGCCCCTCCCACGCCGCCATCGCCTCTGACCTCCTCGCCCCGCTCCCCGCCGCCACCACGCCCGCCGCCCCCTCCTCCTCTCCCTGCGCCTCTGGCGCCCCGCCGTTGGCCCCCTCGGCCGAGCCTTCTAAGGGCCAGGCTCGTGGGAAGAAGGGCGGCGCGCAGCCCTCCCTGCGCTCCGCTGCCGCCGCTGCTGACGTCGTCACTGTGGGGGACAGGTGAGGCGGCTGATAGAGGGATCTGTGAGGGGGGGCTATTGAGGGGTTGGTGAGGAGGCTTATAGAGGAGACATGCGAGGAGGCTTACAGAGGGGAGAGGGGAGGGGGGCAATAGAAGGCACAGCTGAGTGGGCTTGGAGAGGCCCACTTCCCCTGTCACTACGTGCGTCCCCTGTGTATGTAACTTGTCTGTTCCTGATTCCGTTCACATACCCCTTGGCTCTTTTGCTACGAAGTGAGCTCCCTCTCCTGCTTCCCGCGTCCCTCCCGCTTCTCTCCCGCCCCCCTCCCGCTTCTCTCCCGCCCCCCTCCCCCCATCAGGTGGCTCAAGGAGCTGATATCGCGCAGAGCCCTGCTTCCCCTGGATGGTGTGGAGCGATCTGATTGGTTCAAAGCCCTGGGGCCCACGTGGCTGGTGAGTGTGTGCTGTGCCATATGCCGCGCCCTAGGGAGGGAGGCTGTGCTGTGCTGTGCTGTGGGAGGGGCAGGCTGTCCACGAAAGCATGCCTTGCAGCTTGTGAGCATCAGCATGACAAAGCACCACAAACACCATCACCATGACAGTCCACCACAGCCCGCATCAGCATCCACATGAGCATGGGACGTGTTGGCAATAGCAGCACCAAGGTGCACCAAGACTCTTTCATCACCACCCTCTCTGCCGCCCATCCATGCCCATCCATTGCCCATCCATGCCCATCCATGCCCATTCATGCCCTCTCTACCGCCCATCCATGCCCTCTCCGCCGCCCATCCATGCCCTCTCTGCCGCCCATCCATGCCCTCTCTGCCGCCCATTCTGCCGCCCATCCATTCCCTCTCTGCCGCCCATCCATGCCCTCTCTGCCGCCCATCCATGCCCTCTCTGCTTGCGTGGCTGCATGCAGAGGCTGCTCGACCGCACCCCCTCCGGCCACCTAACTCTCCCTGGCCCGCCCACCACCACCACCACCACCACCACAACCAGCGGCAGCAGCGGCAGGGAGGGCGGGGAGGGGGCGGTGAGGGGCAAGGTGTATGCAGTGCCGTACCGCATGGGGTACCTGGCAGTGGCGTGGCGGGCTGATAAACTCCAGCAGAAAGGCATCAAGCCCATCCAGGTACAGAGAGGGGAGGTGCGGTCCGCACATATCGTTTGCGGCGGGAGAGAGCTTTGAGACGTCTCAAAAGGCAGGAGAGAGAGAGAGAGAGAGAGAGAGAGAGAGAGAGAGAGCGGCGCCTGAAATGTATTGTACTTCCCCAACCCCTTGGCTGACTTCTAGTGCTGAGATGTCTAAAACCTCAAATGCCGGGGCACCCCCTTGGGTGACTCCTCAAGTGCCGGGGCACCCCCTTGGGTGACTCCTCCTTTCTGTGACGTCTTGGCCATGGACTAACCTCGCTTCAGCATTCTCCTCCCACCCTCTCCTCTTCCTCATCTCCTCCCACCCTCTCCTCTTCCTCATCTCCTCCCACCCTCTCCTCTTCCTCATCTCCTCCCACCCTCTCCTCTTCCTCATCTCCTCCCACCCTCTCCTCTTCCTCATCTCCTCCCACCCTCTCCTCTTCCTCATCTCCTCCCACCCCCTCCTCTTCCTCATCTCCTCCCACCCTCTCCTCTTCCTCATCTCCTCCCACCCTCTCCTCTTCCTCATCTCCTCCCACCCTCTCCTCTTCCTCATCTCCTCCCACCCCTCCTCTTCCTCATCTCCTCCCACCCTCTCCTCTTCCTCATCTCCTCCCACCCTCTCCTCTTCCTCATCTCCTCCCACCCTCTCCTCTTCCTCATCTCCTCCCACCCTCTCCTCTTCCTCATCTCCTCCCACCCTCTCCTCTTCCTCATCTCCTCCCACCCTCTCCTCTTCCTCATCTCCTCCCACCCTCTCCTCTTCCTCATCTCCTCCCACCCTCTCCTCTTCCTCATCTCCTCCCACCCTCTCCTCTTCCTCATCTCCTCCCACCCTCTCCTCTTCCTCATCTCCTCCCACCCTCTCCTCTTCCTCATCTCCTCCCACCCTCTCCTCTTCCTCATCTCCTCCCACCCCCTCCTCTTCCTCATCTCCTCCCACCCTCTCCTCTTCCTCATCTCCTCCCACCCTCTCCTCTTCCTCATCTCCTCCCACCCTCTCCTCTTCCTCATCTCCTCCCACCCCTCCTCTTCCTCATCTCCTCCCACCCTCTCCTCTTCCTCATCTCCTCCCACCCTCTCCTCTTCCTCATCTCCTCCCACCCTCTCCTCTTCCTCATCTCCTCCCACCCTCTCCTCTTCCTCATCTCCTCCCACCCTCTCCTCTTCCTCATCTCCTCCCACCCTCTCCTCTTCCTCATCTCCTCCCACCCTCTCCTCTTCCTCATCTCCTCCCACCCTCTCCTCTTCCTCATCTCCTCCCACCCTCTCCTCTTCCTCATCTCCTCCCACCCTCTCCTCTTCCTCATCTCCTCCCACCCTCTCCTCTTCCTCATCTCCTCCCACCCTCTCCTCTTCCTCATCTCCTCCCACCCTCTCCTCTTCCTCATCTCCTCCCACCCTCTCCTCTTCCTCATCTCCTCCCACCCTCTCCTCTTCCTCATCTCCTCCCACCCTCTCCTCTTCCTCATCTCCTCCCACCCTCTCCTCTTCCTCATCTCCTCCCACCCTCTCCTCTTCCTCATCTCCTCCCACCCTCTCCTCTTCCTCATCTCCTCCCACCCTCTCCTCTTCCTCATCTCCTCCCACCCTCTCCTCTTCCTCATCTCCTCCCACCCTCTCCTCTTCCTCATCTCCTCCCACCCTCTCCTCTTCCTCATCTCCTCCCACCCTCTCCTCTTCCTCATCTCCTCCCACCCTCTCCTCTTCCTCATCTCCTCCCACCCTCTCCTCTTCCTCATCTCCTCCCACCCTCTCCTCTTCCTCATCTCCTCCCACCCTCTCCTCTTCCTCATCTCCTCCCACCCTCTCCTCTTCCTCATCTCCTCCCACCCCCTCCTCTTCCTCATCTCCTCCCACCCTCTCCTCTTCCTCATCTCCTCCCACCCTCTCCTCTTCCTCATCTCCTCCCACCCTCTCCTCTTCCTCATCTCCTCCCACCCCCTCCTCTTCCTCATCTCCTCCCACCCTCTCCTCTTCCTCATCTCCTCCCACCCTCTCCTCTTCCTCATCTCCTCCCACCCTCTCCTCTTCCTCATCTCCTCCCACCCTCTCCTCTTCCTCATCTCCTCCCACCCTCTCCTCTTCCTCAGCTCCTCCCACCCTCTCCTCTTCCTCATCTCCTCCCACCCTCTCCTCTTCCTCATCTCCTCCCACCCTCTCCTCTTCCTCATCTCCTCCCACCCTCTCCTCTTCCTCATCTCCTCCCACCCTCTCCTCTTCCTCATCTCCTCCCACCCTCTCCTCTTCCTCATCTCCTCCCACCCTCTCCTCTTCCTCATCTCCTCCCACCCTCTCCTCTTCCTCATCTCCTCCCACCCTCTCCTCTTCCTCATCTCCTCCCACCCTCTCCTCTTCCTCATCTCCTCCCACCCTCTCCTCTTCCTCATCTCCTCCCACCCTCTCCTCTTCCTCATCTCCTCCCACCCTCTCCTCTTCCTCATCTCCTCCCACCCTCTCCTCTTCCTCATCTCCTCCCACCCTCTCCTCTTCCTCATCTCCTCCCACCCTCTCCTCTTCCTCATCTCCTCCCACCCTCTCCTCTTCCTCATCTCCTCCCACCCTCTCCTCTTCCTCATCTCCTCCCACCCTCTCCTCTTCCTCATCTCCTCCCACCCTCTCCTCTTCCTCATCTCCTCCCACCCTCTCCTCTTCCTCATCTCCTCCCACCCTCTCCTCTTCCTCATCTCCTCCCACCCTCTCCTCTTCCTCATCTCCTCCCACCCTCTCCTCTTCCTCATCTCCTCCCACCCTCTCCTCTTCCTCATCTCCTCCCACCCTCTCCTCTTCCTCATCTCCTCCCACCCTCTCCTCTTCCTCATCTCCTCCCACCCTCTCCTCTTCCTCATCTCCTCCCACCCCTCCTCTTCCTCATCTCCTCCCACCCTCTCCTCTTCCTCATCTCCTCCCACCCTCTCCTCTTCCTCATCTCCTCCCACCCTCTCCTCTTCCTCATCTCCTCCCACCCTCTCCTCTTCCTCATCTCCTCCCACCCTCTCCTCTTCCTCATCTCCTCCCACCCTCTCCTCTTCCTCATCTCCTCCCACCCTCTCCTCTTCCTCATCTCCTCCCACCCTCTCCTCTTCCTCATCTCCTCCCACCCTCTCCTCTTCCTCATCTCCTCCCACCCCTCCTCTTCCTCATCTCCTCCCACCCTCTCCTCTTCCTCATCTCCTCCCACCCTCTCCTCTTCCTCATCTCCTCCCACCCTCTCCTCTTCCTCATCTCCTCCCACCCTCTCCTCTTCCTCATCTCCTCCCACCCTCTCCTCTTCCTCATCTCCTCCCACCCTCTCCTCTTCCTCATCTCCTCCCACCCTCTCCTCTTCCTCATCTCCTCCCACCCTCTCCTCTTCCTCATCTCCTCCCACCCTCTCCTCTTCCTCATCTCCTCCCACCCTCTCCTCTTCCTCATCTCCTCCCACCCTCTCCTCTTCCTCATCTCCTCCCACCCCTCCTCTTCCTCATCTCCTCCCACCCTCTCCTCTTCCTCATCTCCTCCCACCCTCTCCTCTTCCTCATCTCCTCCCACCCTCTCCTCTTCCTCATCTCCTCCCACCCCCTCCTCTTCCTCATCTCCTCCCACCCTCTCCTCTTCCTCATCTCCTCCCACCCTCTCCTCTTCCTCATCTCCTCCCACCCTCTCCTCTTCCTCATCTCCTCCCACCCTCTCCTCTTCCTCATCTCCTCCCACCCTCTCCTCTTCCTCATCTCCTCCCACCCTCTCCTCTTCCTCATCTCCTCCCACCCTCTCCTCTTCCTCATCTCCTCCCACCCTCTCCTCTTCCTCATCTCCTCCCACCCTCTCCTCTTCCTCATCTCCTCCCACCCTCTCCTCTTCCTCATCTCCTCCCACCCTCTCCTCTTCCTCATCTCCTCCCACCCTCTCCTCTTCCTCATCTCCTCCCACCCCTCCTCTTCCTCATCTCCTCCCACCCTCTCCTCTTCCTCATCTCCTCCCACCCTCTCCTCTTCCTCATCTCCTCCCACCCTCTCCTCTTCCTCATCTCCTCCCACCCCCTCCTCTTCCTCATCTCCTCCCACCCTCTCCTCTTCCTCATCTCCTCCCACCCTCTCCTCTTCCTCATCTCCTCCCACCCTCTCCTCTTCCTCATCTCCTCCCACCCTCTCCTCTTCCTCATCTCCTCCCACCCTCTCCTCTTCCTCATCTCCTCCCACCCTCTCCTCTTCCTCATCTCCTCCCACCCTCTCCTCTTCCTCATCTCCTCCCACCCTCTCCTCTTCCTCATCTCCTCCCACCCTCTCCTCTTCCTCATCTCCTCCCACCCTCTCCTCTTCCTCATCTCCTCCCACCCTCTCCTCTTCCTCATCTCCTCCCACCCCCTCCTCTTCCTCATCTCCTCCCACCCTCTCCTCTTCCTCATCTCCTCCCACCCTCTCCTCTTCCTCATCTCCTCCCACCCTCTCCTCTTCCTCATCTCCTCCCACCCCCTCCTCTTCCTCATCTCCTCCCACCCTCTCCTCTTCCTCATCTCCTCCCACCCTCTCCTCTTCCTCATCTCCTCCCACCCTCTCCTCTTCCTCATCTCCTCCCACCCTCTCCTCTTCCTCATCTCCTCCCACCCTCTCCTCTTCCTCATCTCCTCCCACCCTCTCCTCTTCCTCATCTCCTCCCACCCTCTCCTCTTCCTCATCTCCTCCCACCCTCTCCTCTTCCTCATCTCCTCCCACCCTCTCCTCTTCCTCATCTCCTCCCACCCTCTCCTCTTCCTCATCTCCTCCCACCCTCTCCTCTTCCTCATCTCCTCCCACCCTCTCCTCTTCCTCATCTCCTCCCACCCTCTCCTCTTCCTCATCTCCTCCCACCCTCTCCTCTTCCTCATCTCCTCCCACCCTCTCCTCTTCCTCATCTCCTCCCACCCTCTCCTCTTCCTCATCTCCTCCCACCCTCTCCTCTTCCTCATCTCCTCCCACCCCCTCCTCTTCCTCATCTCCTCCCACCCTCTCCTCTTCCTCATCTCCTCCCACCCTCTCCTCTTCCTCATCTCCTCCCACCCTCTCCTCTTCCTCATCTCCTCCCACCCCCTCCTCTTCCTCATCTCCTCCCACCCTCTCCTCTTCCTCATCTCCTCCCACCCTCTCCTCTTCCTCATCTCCTCCCACCCTCTCCTCTTCCTCATCTCCTCCCACCCTCTCCTCTTCCTCATCTCCTCCCACCCTCTCCTCTTCCTCATCTCCTCCCACCCTCTCCTCTTCCTCATCTCCTCCCACCCTCTCCTCTTCCTCATCTCCTCCCACCCTCTCCTCTTCCTCAGCTCCTCCCACCCTCTCCTCTTCCTCATCTCCTCCCACCCTCTCCTCTTCCTCATCTCCTCCCACCCTCTCCTCTTCCTCATCTCCTCCCACCCTCTCCTCTTCCTCATCTCCTCCCACCCTCTCCTCTTCCTCATCTCCTCCCACCCTCTCCTCTTCCTCATCTCCTCCCACCCCCTCCTCTTCCTCATCTCCTCCCACCCTCTCCTCTTCCTCATCTCCTCCCACCCTCTCCTCTTCCTCATCTCCTCCCACCCTCTCCTCTTCCTCATCTCCTCGCATCCTCTCCTCTTCCTCATATCCTCCCACCCTCTCCTCTTCCTCATCTCCTCCCACCCTCTCCTCTTCCTCAGCTCCTCCCACCCTCTCCTCTTCCTCATCTCCTCCCACCCTCTCCTCTTCCTCATCTCCTCCCACCCTCTCCTCTTCTTCATCTCCTCCCACCCTCTCCTCTTCCTCATCTCCTCCCACCCCCTCCTCTTCCTCATCTCCTCCCACCCTCTCCTCTTCCTCATCTCCTCCCACCCTCTCCTCTTCCTCATCTCCTCCCACCCTCTCCTCTTCCTCATCTCCTCCCACCCTCTCCTCTTCCTCATCTCCTCCCACCCTCTCCTCTTCCTCATCTCCTCCCACCCTCTCCTCTTCCTCATCTCCTCCCACCCTCTCCTCTTCCTCATCTCCTCCCACCCTCTCCTCTTCCTCAGCTCCTCCCACCCTCTCCTCTTCCTCATCTCCTCCCACCCTCTCCTCTTCCTCATCTCCTCCCACCCTCTCCTCTTCCTCATCTCCTCCCACCCTCTCCTCTTCCTCATCTCCTCCCACCCCCTCTTCTCTCCATTTTCCCCCTCCCCTCCCCTCCCCTCCCCTCCCCTCCCCTCCCCTCTCCTCTCCTCTCCTACCACCAAACCACCTCCTTCCTATTCCTTGAAACCCCTTCCCTCCCCTCTCCATCCCCTCTTCGTTCCCTCTCCATCCCCTCTCCATTCCCTTCCCATCCCCAATCAGATGTGGAGCGATCTCTGGCAGCCGGCGTTGCGCGGACAGGTGGCAGTCATTGATTCGCCGAGAGAGCTGCTGGCAGTTACGATGAAGTAAGTCGAAGGGAGGCAGGCAGTGGGGAGGGAGAGCCGTGGGGAGGGAGAGCCGTGGGGTGACCAAGTGGTAGTGGGGGTTTGTGCTCTAGACTTTTGCGGTGCCTCAACAGTGGGAATGGATGGAGAGTCATGGAGAGGAAAAGAGGTAGTGGTGGACTCGCATGCTGTTGGCGCTGCTGTGGTGGACTCGCATGCTGTTGGCGCTGCTGAACCTCTTGCCACTCGCACCCATGCGTTCCACCTCATCCTCTTCCCCCCCCTCACCCCCTCCTCTCCCCCTCCGCCCTGCACAGGTCACCAGCAGCGCCCGTCAACACCCAGTAGCCCTCTCGATGTTTCCTTTTGTCGGCGCATCAACAGTCGCTTTCCCCCTCCCCTCCTCCTCCTCCCCCCACCTCCCCACCTTCCCCCCCCCCCCCCCCCCGCACAGGTCGCTAGGAGCGCCGTTCAATGCGCACAGCCCACTGGACTCGCATGTGCCCGGAGGCTTACCTGCTCTCAAGGCCAGGTGGCAAGCCCTCCTGCACCAGGTGCGCTGACGTGGCATGCTGACTAGAGCACCTGCTCGCACTTATCACCAGGATTTGAATGTGAAGTCCCACGAGTTTTGATGCGTCTCAAAACTGAAATGAGGTGTAAAGTTCTACGAGTAACACAGTGTCTGAATGTGCGTCTCCTCCCCCACGTGTCCTTTCCCACTCCTCCCCTCAAGGCCCGGCAGGCATCTCCTTTTCCTCTCCGCTCCTATTGCATCCTTCCCTTCCCCTCTCCTCCCCTTATTCTCTCCTCTTCCCACCTCCTCTCAGGTGCGGGTGTGTGACAGCAGCAACTACCTAAAGGCCTTTCAGGTGTGAGACGTGCTCGTGGTGGTGGGATGGCCCTCCGGCCTCCTCCATCACCCTCCCACCTCCTCCCTCCCACACGTTTCCCCTCAGCACTCGTTGTTCCTCTAACCTCCTCCCCCTCCGTTCACCCCGCAGGTGCGGTTGTGTGACAGCAGCAACTACCCAAAGGCCTTTCAGGTGTGAGACGTGCTCGTAGTGGTGGGGTGGTCCTCCAACCTCCCCTCTTCCATTCGCTTGCCCTCAACTCTCATTGCATCCTTCCCCGTCCCCTTACTCTCCCACCTGCCCTCAGATTCGCGTGTGTGACAGCAGCAACTACCTCAAGGCCTTTCAGGCATCGGACGTGCTAGTGGTGGTCGGATGGTCCTCTGACCTGCTGCCCTTCGCCCGCCGCAACAACAACATCACCGTCGCTGCGCCTGCTGACGGCACCCTCCTCTTTGCCGACCTATGGGTGAGCGCCACGTGTCGTTCTTCCTGCTGCCTTCCCTGTTCTTCAACCCTGCCGCCCTGGTGCTGCCTTCAATCCCAGGCAGGCAGTTTTGACTGGCACCCAATGGTCTCACTTGTAAAAGCCCCCCCTCATGTGGATGATGAACGATTTCTGTTTAATTCTCAAATATTGCTCATAATTGTTTCTGCTGCGTTCTTCGATGACTGTTTGATGACTGTTAAATTGGTGTTTGATTGGTAATTGTCGTGTTCTGTGCCAATCTGCAGAAATCTGGGTCTTCAGATATGTGTGTGCAGTTACATTATCTCCATCTGTCTATAATTTCCTCTTCCCTCTATCCACCCCTCTCTTTCCCCCTCCAGGCCGTGCCCGCTACAGCCCGCTACAACATCCCCAAGGCTGCCTGGCGCAACCGCGGGCCCTCGCCACTCATCGGGCAGTGGATGAAGTTTTGCCTGCAGCCCGCCCGGGCAGTGCCCCTGGAGCGGGAAATCTTCTCGGCCTTCTCCCCCACAGTCCTGCCCGACTGCCTCCCGCTGGCACCAATGCTACCAGCTGACGACTCAAGCATCAATGCTGCTAGCACCAGCGGTAGCAGCACCAAGGGCAGCACCAGCCGCGCCACCAACACCAGCAACAGCAACACGAGCAGCAGCAGCAGCACCACCACCACCACTGCCACTGCCAGCAGCAGCAGCAGCAGCAGCAGTGCGCGTGGGTTACCAGCAGCGGGCATCCTGGCAGCGAGTGAGTTCGTGGAGCCACTGGATGGCGCCACACAGGCAGAGCTGAACCAAGTGCTGCTGGGGGACACGAAGGGGGGCGTGGCGGCACAGGGGCAGACGATGCAGGGCCGGGTGAAGCAGGCGATTGAGGCTGTTGGTTCGGCATTGGATAAGCTGAGGAAAAGAGGGTGATTGCGGCAAGTGGTTTAGTGCGGTGTGTTGCGGTACCGTAAGCGGAATACCGTAATTTGCTTCATTTGTTCCTCTTTAAGACCCTTAACGGAACAGACAAAGCATCATAGATAAAGCATAGATACAAAATGAATGAACGAACAGCCCACATGCCCCAGCACAATCAATGGGGCAACAAAACTGCCTGCTAAGCAGAGAGGCTACGAGCAGCCAACTGAGCACGTTGGCTTGGAGCCTAGACAGGCAGAGCCTAGAGACGGCTAGGGAAAGGCATAACCCAGCCCACCCACCCACCCCCCTCCAGGGAAGGGTGTTCATTGATTGGCCACAGGAACCTGCAAGGGGCTCCTGCATCTGGTGCAGGAATGCCGCGTGCATTTTTGGGAGGAGCCAGAGAAAAGTTGAGCAACATTCCAGATGGGCGAGCAGCACCGTCGAGCGGGCGCAAGGCAAGCCTCAGCACTAGGCGAGCTGGCAGCACTAAGGAGTATTGGCAGCGAGCCACCAGAGCATGTTTGTCTTGCTATTCCCATCGTCAAATGCTGTCAGCTTCTCAATATTCTCCCTCGCCGCCGCCGGGTCATACGTGGCCTGCAGCGCCCATGCAAACCCCCTCCACTCGTCCGTGGTGCCGTCCCCCCCCAGCACAGGCAGCACCCACTGCACCACCTGGCGGTTGAAGGAGGGGTCTGGGAAGAGGCGGGCGAGGAAGGGCGTAATGGGGAGGACTTGGATGCCCACGCGCTTGTCGGTCTGCTCTGCTGCTGCGAACCACAGGCCTGCGTCGCGCTTTGCCGCCCACACCATGCCGAGGAGGCGGTTTGGGACGGCAAAGATTGGATCGTAGTTTGGGGAGGTGGACGTGGCTGCTGCTGACAGGGCTGCTGTGGAGAGACGCGAGGAGGAGGAAGTGGAGGGTGATGATAGTAATTCTCTTGGTTCTGCTACTGCTGCTGCTGTAGCTGTTGCTGCAGGTACTGGCGTTGTTGCTGCTGGTACTGGCGTTGTTGCTGCTGGTACTGGCGTTGTTGCTGCTGGTACTGGCGTTGTTGCTGCAGGTACTGGCGTTGTTGCTGCTGGTACTGGCGTTGTTGCTGCTGGCACCGGCGTTGTTGCTGTTGCGGGTACTGGCGTTTCTGCTGGTGCTAGCGTTTCTGCTGCTGCTGGTGCTGGCGTTTCTGCTGGTGCCGGTACTGGCGCCCCTGCTGGTGCTGCTGACGGTGCAGCAGAGGGGCTAGGCACACCCCCACTACCATCACCACCACCACTCCCACCCCCACCGCCATCAGCACTCTCAGGCACCTGGATGAGCGTCTGAGCAGCAACAGCCTCCACAGCAGCCAGCGTAGCCCCCAGATTCGCCAAGTGCAGATCCCCAAACGCATGCCCCAGCAGCGCCACCGCATAATACCCATTCACCGCCTCACTGAAACTCTCCTGATTCCTCCCGTCGCCAAACTCAAACAGCCCGCTCGCCCACGAGTGCAGCGCGTACAAATCAAAATGCCTCAGCCTGGGGAACGCCGCAGTGGCACGCGGGGACATGATATCAGACACAAGGTTGAGCACAGAGTGCCGGTGAGTCATGGCCCATGCAGGGTCCGCCTTGGCCACCACTGCAGCGGCATACAGCCAGTAGCCGAAGTGGAAGTGGTGGTCGTTGTAGCACCCCATGCCGAAATCCGCCCCCGAGTCCGCCGCCCCGCTCATGCTCACAATGCCGCCCCACGCCGGGTCGTAGAGGAGAGAGTTTCCCGCAAACGACCCGTTGAACCATGCGGTTAGGGCGTCCCGCACCACTGCTACTGCTGTCCCTGCTGCCGCTGTCTCGCCTAGTTGCTCTGCAATTAGGGCCAGCCGGGCGGCGCGGGCGGCGGTTTTCCCGAAGAAGTAGGTGGAGGTGGTGGTGATGGGGGTGAGGGCGGCGACGTCTGTCTGTAGTGCGAGGCGGAGGGAGAGGCGGAGGGCGGGGTCGGAGGAGAGGCGGGGCGAGTGCCAGGAGGCGTGCAGAGGAGGCACCTTCACTTCCCACCTGCTGCCTGCCACGCCCACTGCAGGGCCGTCTAGCGTGGGGTAGAGCAGCACGTGGGGGTTCGGTGCTGCAGCTGACACCGATGCCGATGGGGGCTGTAGCAGTGATGGGGCGCTTTGGTCCGCGGAAGCTGTGATGGCTTCTGCTGCTCCTCCCCCGGAAGATGCGGCGAGGAAGGAGTGAGCGGAGAGGGAGGCGGCGGTGAGGGGGAGGGTGGGGGTGCAGGGGGGAGGAATAGAGGGGGGGGCGGGAGCAGAGGCTGGGGCAGAGGCGGGGGCAGAGGCGGGGGCAGAGGCGGGGGCAGATGAAGGGGCGGAGGCAGGAGTGGAAGAAGGGGCAGAGGCTGGGGCGGAAGAAGGGGGAGAGGTGACGGGGGGAGGTGTGGGGGTGACAGGCGGGAAGTTGACACCAGGGGGAGGTGTGGAGGTGGCGGGGGAGTAGGCTTTGAGATGCATTCGCCGATGAACTGACATGGGGGGGTAGAGTGGGGGATACAGAGGGAGTGGGCACACATTGAAGGGAAAAAGAGGGAGGGTGAGAAAGGGGTTAGGAGGAGTGGGGTTGAAAAGGATACGTATGTGCAACAACCTACTGCCACCACACCCACTGTCACCGCACTGGCTGATACTACCACCATTGCCACGCACCGCACCGGCAGCAAAGTCAGCAGTCTCTCACTGCTCCATGGCGCCACCTTCCATGCGTACTTCCCGCCACAGCTGCGCCTTTATGTCGCCCCTACCGCCCCCATTCCCCGTTCACCCCGAGGACTCACTTGGCAGTGCGAGCATGAGCGGCACAGCAGTCCCATCCGTGGCAGCAGTCTCACTGCCCCACGGCGCCACCTTCCACGTGTACTTGATGCGCCACGGCTGCACCTTCACATCGCCGCCCACCACCACGGCGCCTGCGTATGCGTCCAGCACCGCCTCCTCCGCTGGGGAGTTTCCAGGAAGCATCGCGGCGCGCAGCGTGCCGGTGAAGGGTGACGTGGCGGTGAGCGTGCTGTTGTGGAGGGAGAAGGTGAGCGGTGCGGACGCGTATAGCAGCCATGTCTGAAGGGGGAAAGTGCCGGGGGGGTTGCAGGGGTCCAGTGGGTGCAGTGAGAGGAAGGGTTGAGTCAATTCGGACTGTAAAAAAGGAACAAAAAAACAAAAACAAAAACAAAGACAAAGTTCAATGGAAGAAAGGGCAAGGTGCACTTGCATCTAGCACAGAATGGGCAGCTAAGGGCACGCACACTGCCTGCCAGCCGGGGCCAATACAGCTGGCGCTGTACCTGTCCGTTGTTGAAGGTGAGCCTGTGCTTGGTGCCGTCCGCCGTGGACTGCACCTCCGTGATGGCATCGTCCGTGGCCATCACTGGCGTGGCTCCTGGTGACGCGAACAGGAACGTGAGGTATGGACTGCCGCGCACCAGCGGCACCGTCAGTACGGGCGCAGAGGAGGGCGAGGAGGAGGAAGAGGAGTAGGCGAGGGTGACGGAGGTGTCGTCGTAGGAGGTGACCTGGTGAGTGGAGAGGCCCTCGAGCGTGGAGAGCATGAGCGTCGCCATGAACGCCTGACAGGGTGGCGTGGGGGCGCGCACGCACAGGGAGGGCAGGTGGAAAGAAGAAAAGGTGAGAGAATGAATGGGGCGGAAGAGTGGGGGTGCAAAGCAGTACAGACGAAGAAGGAAGGGGTTGTGCGCAAGGGGAGGGACGCAAGGATGGGGCGGATGGATTCAAACGAGCGGCAGAAGAAGAGATGAAAAAAAGCAGCCAGATCCACCAACGGCTGTGGTGAGCATGGTTCCACTGGGCACGCCTGGTAGGTGAGTCGCGCAAGTTGACTAACGTCCTTGAGAAAGCAAAGGCGAGGCTAAAAAGCCAACCCTGCCTTTTGCCTTCACCCTGCCTTTACTTGGCACCGGCCGCGTTTATTCGACCATCCGTTCTTCCACGTTTCATGGAGCAATCGGCTTCATCGCCTCACCTGGATGATGAAGCCCGGCTGCGCGTCTCTCGGCGGCGCACCCCACGCGATGCGCCCCTCGCTGCTCTTGACGGCGTAGGGCGGCACGACCTCGGGACTGCCGCCGTCGCCCAGCACGAAGTTCTGCCACGGCGTGTTTGTCGGGTACGGTGCCTGCACGACGAGGCGCGGATGGGCGCAGCGGGAAACACAGAGAGCGTGCATGAGTAATCACGTCGTGCCCCTATTATAGTGCTACTCTGTAAGTCAGCGGCGTGAAAAAAAAGGTGTGCATAAGCAAGGAGAACTTTTACGTCGACCCATACGTGACATACACGGGAATGGTAATGGGAAGATGGGAACATTTGGAGCCAGGAGTGGAAGATTGGCAGTTCCCACTCCAATAGGGTGTGATACAGCCAATGCGTCGATATATGCGAGGGATTAACGACGTGGAGCTTACAGAGAGGTTGGCGCTCCAAAGGGACGATGGCAGCGGAGCGACAGTCGAGATGAGCGACGGGAAGGCGAGAGACATGGCGGAAGCTATCAAAGCAGCAGCTTGAGTTTGTCAAGTCGAGGAAGCACTGGGCGCGTGATTGGTAAGCGCTCTTAGTCGGCTATTGCTGAGCGGACTCTCGAGATGCACGTGCTAAGCGTTCGAGTGCTTGCTAGATTGCGCGTATCGCATGGGGTTTCGGAGCGTGAATGAAGTCGCAATGTAGACTCGACGCCCATCCGACTATTTAAAGCAACTGCTGGGTCTAAGGCAATCGTGTTCGACACAGATCACCTCATTCACTGCGGGTTTGACAAGCATCTCCAAGTAACTAATTTATAGAACAATCGAAGCGCGAAGTTAGGTTCGAGGCAGGCAAAATCGAGGGCAGCTGCATTCGAGCCAGGAAAGCGAAGCTGGGGGGTGGTTTCGGCAAATTGGTGTTGGAGGGGGGAGAGAGTGGTTGGCCCAGAAGGTGGTTTTCCCGCCACTCCATCCCACAGGGACGCATCCAGG